AAGTACTGAGGGAACTAGGTAAAAATCATCCTGAAAAGGCCTATTCTGGGCCCTTTCCTAGATGCCTTGGCTTGGAACAGGAGTGCCCAGAGATGCATGTGTTGAAGGCTGAGTTCCCAGCAGGTGGCGCTGTTGAGACGGTTGCGCCTGGAAGGTGTCAACATCTTCAGAGATTAGCTCAATGAGCTCAGAGTTGAATGGGCTATGAGGAGGAAGTATGACATAGGGTCTTTTGAGAGACCCTGTCTCTGCTTTTGCCTCCCGTCTGCCATCAAGATGCTCAGCATCACCACAGGCCCTACGGGTGGAGCCCATGGAACATGGACTAAAACCTCTGAAACCAGGAGCCAAAACACCTTTTGTCACTTATTTTCCTTGGGTGATTTTTTTTTCATGGCCATGAAAGTGGGCTCACAAAATAAGCTAAACCTCGAGCCTCCTGCAGAGGCATGGGATTCCTTGGATGGTGAAGGGAATCTCATGTATTTACTTTATTTAAATAACTTTTTAAAAAAATGTATTTTACATACCAACCGCAGTTTCCCCCTCCTTCCTCTTCTGGGAACCTAATCTTTTTTTTTTTTGGTTTTTCGAGACAGGGTTTCTCTGTGGCTTTGGAGGCTGTCCTGGAACTCGCTCTGTAGACCAGGCTGGCCTCGAACTCACAGAGATCCACCTGTCTCTGCCTCCCAAGTGCTGGGATTAAAGGCGTGAGCCACCAACGCCCGGCGGAACCTCATCTTTTAAACAATGAGTTTATTTTTATTTTTAACTCGGGGGGGGCATACACATGCACAGTGCCCATGCACAAATCTCAGGGTGTGGTCAATCACTTAAAATCTCATTCACCTCCAATCTGAATCATCCCAAACACCTCAGCTGAGGTAACTGAATAGCACCCTGTGATCCACCAAGATTCTATTGCCCTTGACTAAAGGCATTAAATCCTCTCCCCCAATATTAACACCCTTTTTGGAACTTCAAGCCAAACGGCTCCATAATAAAAACGAAAATTACTTTATTGCATTCAGCCCTCAAGTTATTCACTTCCATCCCTCAAAAAATTTTATATGCTTTTAACGTATGGAAAGCAGGCATCAATGGCCCATAATCCCTTAGAATGAGAAATCATATATTTTCTTTCTCATGATAAAAGGGCTTGGCTCTGCCAGGAGAGACGAGAGAGATAGCTACTTTCCTTTTGCCCATTCCAGTGAAGGTCACTTCCCTTCAAGGAGGGGGGAGGTTGGGGGGGAGGGGAGGAAGCCTGGAGACAGGAGTGACCATGATTGTGAGGTTCAGGGATGTGACCATCAATCTGCCAAACCTTGTTTATAGTCTGCCTTTCCCTGGGTTAACAACAAGAACAAGAGCTACAACTATAAAAGGGCCTGGCCAGGGTGATAAATGTCTTGGGAAACAAAGAATCCCGATTCTGGCACAGTGAGGGTGCATCCTGATGGTGTCCTGGGAGGCAGGTGTGAGGAGGAGTTCTGCAGGGTGTGCCGGCTGGTCTTATACCTTGACACAAGCTAGAGTCCTCGGAGAGGAGGAAACCTCAATTGAGACAAAAAAACGCCTCTATAATAGCCCGCTGTAGAGCATTGCCTTAATTAGTGATTGATGGGGGAGGGCCCAGCCCATTGTGGGTGGGGCCATCCCTGGGCTGGTTGGTCCTGGGTTCCATGAGAAAGCAGGCTGAGGAGGCCAGTAAGCAGCACCCTCCATGGCCTCTGCATCAAGGTGCAAGAGCCTCCAGGTTCCAACTCTGTCCGAGTTCCTGTCCTGACTTCCTTCGGTGATGGACTATGATGCGGAAGTGTGAGCCAGACACATTACCTCCCCAAGTTGCTATGGTCCTGGTGTCTCATCACAGCAATAGAGATCCTGACTAAGACACAAGAGTTACTATATAGACTGGCTTTCACTGGCCGAGCAGAGATCCTCAGTTGTAAACCTGGTATGATTAATGAGGCAATCTGGGAGTTCCTTGCTGGGAGATGCTGACTTCAGTGACTATTACCCAAGTTCCTGGGAACCTCCTGAGCCTTGCCCTGCAGTGGGCGGAGTCTAATGTCTTAACAATCACCATTCCAACTTCACTTGGAAAGTGGGGGCTGAGTCACACTGCACACCCTTCACATTTGCCACGTTGACCTTAGTGTTTTCCCTTTCTGGTCCCCAGGTGGGCTGAGGGCTATGCTATAGTCTTCTCCCCAAACCAGCCAGACTGTTTCTTATACAGGGTCTGATTACAGTGAGAGAAGGGACTAGAAACAGTATAAGACAATAGGAATATATTCTCAATTCTGGAGGCTAAGAATAAAAAAAAAACAATATTCAGCCAGCGTTCTTTGGTTTGTAAACACACCCTCAAACCTCCACTTCGATTTTCTCATACATTCGCCCAAGCCCTTCTATTGGAACCACCCTGTTCTTAAGGGGCATCAGCTGGGAGATGGGGGTGGGGATCCATAGTCAAGTATGAACCTGCCTGCATGTCAGCATATCTGTTTCTAAGTTTGCATCCTGGAATTTTAAGTGGATATGGGATTCGGATCACTGTCTAGCTCAATACAGGTAGAGATAAACCACACACCATCAAAGACATGAAAGGTCTCTTGTGTACAATTCCTATGAGGGAAGAAACTTTCAGGCACACCCCCAAGCAGGACTCCCTTTTTGTCATTGGCTAAAAGGGTGCTGCATACCTACTGTGAAACACATGGACTAGTTGAGTCCATAGAGACATGAAGAAGTTGAGTGGGGAGGAAGTACTAGGAGTCAGGGCCAGTGGAGAAGAGTTTCTACTGGGGATAGTGAAAAAGCACTGAAGTCAGTTGTAATGGACTGGGCTGTGGCTCAGTGGGTAGGGTGTTTGCACGAAGCCCTCTGTTCAATACCCAGCAGGGCATAAACTCAGCATGGTAGCCATGCCTGTAATCTTAGCACTGGGGAAGTGAAAACAGCCTTGCAAGTTGAAGCCTTAGCCATATAGCAAATTCAGGGCTAACCTGAACTATATGAGTTTCTGCCTGAACTACATGAGTTTCTGTCTCAGAAAATTAATCTACCATTGTAGATGCATTGCAAGGAATAACTAATAACTGGAAGTGAACAAAACGGGTGCTGTATGGATCCCATCTCAATAAGGCAGTTAAGAATAATCATCATGTCCAAAAGGAGATCTGGAGTGGTAACCAAGCCACCCTCCAATGGAAAGGCTGAGTTGCCTGACAATACATACATGTCATCTGGAGGACCCACATTGAAAATAAGATCTATTGACTTCTCCCCCCCCCACACACACAAAGATAATCAGTGCTGTTTTATTCAGAGCTTGCTTCTGAATAAGGGGTAGAAGGGGTAGACACAGCACTGCCAATTCCAAGGCTCCTCTAGAACCTTCTATGCCTGACATTTCTCAGCATCTAGACTGGTGAAAGAAAGCATGGGCAGATTACCCTGTTGTGAGTGTCCATCAACACAGGCAACGTTTAGGACGTTCTCCTCATCTCCCAGCTCCCTATCCCATCCCCCCCCCATCCCTGGGCTCACCCACCTGGCTTCTCTCTTTCATGGGCATTTCATAGACACGGAACCACCCAATACATTATCACATGAATTTTGTGACTGTTTTCCTTCCTCTTGGCATAACGTTTTTCAGAGTTCTCCCACACTGCGGTTGAAGCGTCATAACCTTTTATGAATGTTGTCAGTTATTTACTTCCAGAGTCTAGTCAAACTGCTTCTTTTACTCACTGTGGCTTTCCACTTCCCAGAGCTGAATTCTATAGAAAACACTCCTGGGATGATCATTTGGAGTCTTTGAGTGACTGATTAAAGACCTGGAAGGATGGTTAATCTCCATCATCAACCGCCTGGGGCCAAACCTCTGGGCATGTCCACAAGGAGACCTCTACATCCAGTTCATCGGAGGGAAGACCCCCCCCTCCCCACTGACCATGTTTAGAACCATCCGGGCTGGGGTGCCAGACTGAATAAAGTGAGCTGAGCACCAGCATCCAACTTCTCTCTCTCTTAACTGTGGACGCCATGTGGTCAGCTGTCTCCAACTCCTACCCCACCACAAACCCCGACACACTCCTCCTTCCTTAATGTGGCTTTTGTCAGGTGTTTTGTCACAGACATGAGAAAAATGGCAGATATAGGTACGTAGTCACAAGTTGACCTGAGCCAGGGTGACTCAAAACTCCATAGTTACATGACCGTGCAGGCCAAAGCCAGGTCCAATCAGCCACCTCCCCACCAAAGCTTTGTGACAGCTGCCCCCAAAGGAGCCATGACTTGCTCCAGTCCTCTGCAAGAGAACAGCAGGGCTTAGAAGAGTGTGGAGGACCATCTGTATTAGCCCCACATTGCAGGGGCCGTATGTCATGGACTGATGTTTGCGGGGCTGTGATTGGGACCAGCTGAGCAGCCCCAGGTCCCATTCCTGAGTGGGGTGAGGGAAGGCATTATAGGAAAAACGAAAGACGGAGACATAAGATCATATCAGGAGGGCAGTCTCAGTTAATACTGAATTGGCCCAGTTTATACATGCATCAATCTTAAGTGACCAACCAAAGGTGGGGACAATGGCAGAAGACTTCTATTATCATGTATAAAGGACAAAAAGCAATTACTTCCCTTAATCCTAAAGAAGCTCCATAGCTGCACAGATCATCTGGCCTTCAGGATGAGTATAAATTCACCTGGGTCCAAGTCTATTGTTATTTAGATAGGAGCCATTCACCACCGAGGCTAGGGCATCCTACAGCCATTAAGCTAATATCTCAAAGACAACAGGAGTGACTTGAGCTCTCTGAACTCGTGGCAGAATGGAATAGATTTCCAATATAAGGTTCTCCCCTGCCTCCCCAGAAGAGCAAGTCTTTTTTCAACATTCCCCCCCAACCCCCATCTCCATCATTGCATGATGACATAAGCTTCTAGCAAAACTGACAGCTCTGACAATGGAAGACTAGAGATTTCCTTACCTGGAACCGTGCACAACCTCAAGTGACTCTTTTTCCAGACTACAGTTACCATCTTCCACTCAAGGGTGTCTAAACAGGAACCAAAGGAAGACGAAGGCCACATCCCTGTGCACCACCTCCTCCCGTTAATCCTCCGGTTCTGAGTAGTAATGAGTTACAAGGTCATTCAAACCAATTTCGCCATAAACCAAGTCTTTTGTTGAAAATAAAACAACAACAAAGCAAAGCAAAGCAAAACAAAATGCCCTTCATTTCTGAAGCTCACCCGTTGGCAATGGCGGGCGCGGGTTGCAATCTGTTTCCCCTTCGGTGGTCTGTTCCTGTGAGACTGTGAAAGTGTTTATCAGATTCGCTTTGTTGGGCGGGGGCGGGGGCGGAGTTGGGGGGAGCGGCAGAGAGGGCCTAACACAAATCACCTGGACGAATCTTTGCTGCTGGGTATAATCACATCAGAGCTACACTTGGGGCGGGTGGAATGTTCCAGACTCCTTCCAGAAGGTCCAGAAAACTTTTGGAAGTCAAAGTCTGTCTGCTGAAGAGTGTTTTGCCCAACAAAGGGCATGTGCGTTGGGGAGAGTAATAATTTTCAGACCCCTGGAGATCCATTTAAAGCCCGGGCACATCATCCTGCTGGGGCTTGCACACAGGACTTGTAACTGATTAGCCTACACAGGCCTTCTAAGGAAGTCTCAGGGGCAAGGCAAAAAGGGCACATGCAAGATGTGTGGGTCAGGAGCTGATAATTCACCCTCACGGTGTCAGCCCCAGCTGCAGAAGATCTTTTGAAGTAGGAGAGAAAGGGTTTGGAGGTGAGTGGGCCAGCCTCCTGCCCCCACAGCCTCTTCTGGGTTGGAAAGTGGAGTATATGTGGTCCAGTTAAGGACTTTGGCCTTATGTAAGAATGCCCCTAAAGGGCTCCTCTTTATTTGTAGGATGGATGAAAATAATTCACCCCCCATACACACCCTTTTTTTTTTATTTTGAGGCTTTCCTCAAACACATTACATAGCAAGGTTGACCTTGAATTCCTGACCCTCCTTGCTCTGGATCTCAGGGCTGGGCTGACAGGTGTGCACACTACACCAGGGAGAAATACCCACTCCTGTGTTTTGTCGGAACACAATACCTGCTTGCTGTAAAACTCAAACAATTCAGAGATACATAAAGGGCAATTCATCCCCACTATAGCAGATCTAGGATGACCGTGTCGGGGTGTGGGGGTAACCATGGGAGATGGGATGGGGGGTTAGGGGTGACTGCCTGGGGTCTTCCTGGTCTGTTTCTATCAGTGACTGGACTGACTGTTGTTTGTGTAGCACTTGTTACGATGTTATTAGCTTACTTACATTAAGCTTCTTTTATCTACTTTATGTGTGAGTGTTGTGCCTTCACCACGTGTTTGTGGTATCCTCAGAGGCTTGAAGAGGGTGTCAGACACCCGTGGGTGGAGAGACTGGGGCTCAGGTCCTCTGCAAGAACAGCAAGTGTTCTTGCCCACTCAGCCATCTCTCCATCAACCTTGCTTTTTAAAAATCCTGCTTATCACCAGGCTTTTCCGGAGAAGGAGAGGGACCAGAGCCAAGATGATGCCTATCTGTCATTCAGCTTCCACATTGCTGACACCCATGTGCTTGGGATCTGCTCTGCTTCACCTTTTAGAAATTTCATGTTTCGGAAACTCTGGTACACAGAGGTGGAGAGGACTGTCTCCTGAGCTCTCATGGATTCCCAGTAAATCTCAGGAGGCATTGTCCTGAGCCATCCCAAGCCCTGCTACTCAAACTCCATCAAGGACCTCAGTAAAACAAATATCAGGCCATCTTTTCCCACCTCACTCTCTCAAGTCTTTATCATCTATCATCTATCTATCTATCTATCTATCTATCTATCTATCTATGTATCTATTTACTAACCTATCTATCTACATACCTACCTACCTGTCAGTCTACCATATATCCATTCATCTGTCTATCATCTATCTATCCATATTTATAATCTATCTACCAACCCATTTATCATCTATCTATCCATCCTGTCTACCTACCTGTCAATTTACTATGTATCCACTCATCATCTACTCATCCATAATTATATATATATACATATATATATAATCTACCTATCATCTATCTATCTCTTGTTTACTATCTATCCATCCATATATGATCTGTCATCTGTCTATCCATCTCTATATTCTATCTTCCTTTCTGTCTACCACCTATCCATCCATCTATATTATCTGTCTATCATCTATCTATCCGTCTACACACACACACACACACACACACACACACACACTATACTTACCTATATACCTGTCTGTCTATCTATCCATTTATCTACATATCTATCTATGTACCTATCTATCTATACACCTACCAATCATCTCTTTATACTGGGGATGGAACCCAGGGCCTTGGCTAACGCTAGTCAAGTACTGTCCCACCAAGTTTCATACCGAGCACCAAAGAATCTTCTCAACCACACCTGCCTCTGCCAGCAAGTTTGACTGACTCCAAAACCCAGCATTTCCCATTAAAGATCCCATAACCCTGCGTCTGCAGAAATGTCCAAGGGCTTGAGAGGAGCTGTGTTAACAGCGTCTGCCTCTGAACTGAGGGCAGCCCCATATCACCTCTATTGATCTGCTTTCTGTTTGGAGTGCTGTTATCCTCTTTGATGAGAGTGGTGGAACACCGCTTTCGATGATTCCTCAGAGCTCCAGGACAGAGATCGCAGACCTTCCACCCTGCCGATCCAACAACCAGACAACATCCTAGAACTGTCTATCTCAGCATCCTGTGGACTTACTGTTAAAAACCTTATCTGTTCCCAGCACCTGTGGCTGGCATAGAAGTCAGGGGAAGGGAAGGGAGGAAGAGGGATTTGCCAGTTTCTTAAAGACAAGATGTTAAATCCACAAAGATATTAATGGATGTCAAAATACATGGCCAGCTACGGCCAGCTGCTGCTGAACACGCTTTCCAAACCCACAGCACTCTCTGCTTGCAAAAGATCAGGAGGGGTGAGCACTGGTGGTTAACTGCCTCCTGCTCCCCCGGTGCAGTTAAAGTTGCTTTCAGATAAAGGTGTGATTTGCACTGGGACACACATTTGGTAAAAGCCACACCTTTCTCCCTCTCCCTTGCCCCAGTTCTGAATCCATTCTCTCTGATTGGGGGTGAAGAAAGCATTGATGTTGGGGGAATGAATCCATGAGGCTGCCATTTGACACAGACAGTGATCCAGAGACTTGATTCTAAACACTTTGAGTGGGCAGAGGAGAAACTGGCTCTGCTATTAGAGGGGCTAAAAAGCTATCAAGCTTCTTGATGGTCCCCTTCCTGCTGCCTGGGACGTAGAAAGTCAGAGCTAACAGATACATAACCAAGACCTTGGACGAGCACCTGGACCTGGCTATACCCGAAGCTTAAAGAACTTATAGTGGGCCAGAGAGGTGGCTGGGCAGCTAAAAGAGCTTGAAGTTTAACCTGATGACCCGAGTTCAATCTCCAGGACCCACATGGTGGGAATTGAGAATTGACTCCTGCATGTTGTCCTCTGATCTCTACATGTAGCCCTGGCACAAGCTCGCATGTGCACACAGAATAAAGGTTTAATAAAAGGGATCTGTGTATATGTGTTTAAACATGTGTTCATGGCATGGTGCATGTGTGAGGGTCAGAGGACAACTTGCAGGAGTCCGTTCTCATCATGTAGGTCCTAGGGACCGAACTCAGATTGTCAGGCTTGGTGGCAAGCATTCTTACCCGCTCCCGCCCCCAGCCACAAGAGACATTAATACCACTGAAAGACAGCATGGATTGGTGCTCTGAGGAGAGTTCTGGCCTCATCTTGGTTAATTCTCTCTCCTCTCATCTTCAGGCTATTGAAAGCCCAGGAAGTGATCCTGAGGCTTCAGTCTTGTTCCTGGCACCCCGTGGCAGTACATGTCTATGCCTTCTATCTCCCTAAGAGGAGGGGGAAGAAGAAACTTACCTTTCTGGTTGGGAGCCAAGTCACAAGCCTACTGGCAAATTTGCCTTCAAGAAGGACGCCAGGGTATTTTGAAAAAAGCAAACAAACAACCCACACAGAGAACTGTGTCTGTTTGTGTGATCCACGAGTCACAGAGGCAGGAGCTTTGCAACAATCAAGACACATTACAATTTTTATGAAATATCGAAGTGGACACCACTGGGTGAGAAGTGGCTGAGGGTAGACCTCAAAGGCAGAAAGGGGTTTCCATGGCAACGCCACCGGGATAACGGTATAGTCTAACTGCTGCCATTACCTATTGGAGATCGGCTCATTTAGGGCAGCCCACATCCCCGTCTGAAACCCCCTCTGGCTGCCTTGCTCTTGCAAAGGACGTATCCAGACACCCATTTGGACCAGCCTTCCCTAACATCACTTGTGGCTTCCCAGGGTGAGGCATTTGGGGTTCACATTGCTGCTTAGGCCCCCGTGAAAGGAGACTGCCACTGAGTCCACACAGCTCTTGTCCCTTGGCCTTGCGTACTGCCAACATTAGCAAAATGAACACGTGGCCCTCATATCAGTTGCGTGACTACCCGTGGGGCTCAAAGTGAACTCACATGTGCACACGGCTACTGCATAGGCTAATGGAACCACCCCGATCTGGACTCTGCGTCATCATGGCAACCCAGAAAGAAGACTGCTAAGGGAGACTGTCTTCTTAGAGATACAGCAAGATGAGAGACACCAGCTTCCTGTGGCAGCTTGGCTAGATGTGGTCAAGTTGCTCTGCAAACATCTATGCCCCACGTTCCTCTCTTCCTAGTGCAGGCACCTGAGCTTCATGCTCCACCCTTGGGAGCTGGTCTCCAAGAGGAGGCCTCTGGCAACCTGGGAACAGACCGTTTACCACTACTGTCCAGAGAGAGGATTCTGGACCCAGACACTTGGCGGGTGATGCAAAAGGAAAATCAAACACAATGGACAGCCTGGAGAGAAGAAAGCGCCTCTCTCACAGTCCTGAGGCTGAAGAATCCAAGATCAAGGTGTGAGTGGGTTGGGCATCACCGGAGGCATCTTCAGGTGTCAGGTGTCAGTTTTCTTGTGTCCTCACCTGATCCTTCTTCTGTGCGGCCATACTCTGTGGGGATTGGGGAGTGGTATATACCATGTGCTTGGGCAATGCAATACCGACTCTGGCCAGAAGAGGGCAGCAGATCCCCATGGAGCTGGAGTTATAGACAGTTGTTAAGTCTCCCAGTGAGGGATTCTGGGAACCCAACGCCGGTCCTCTGCAAGAGCAACCCACCATCGTGGCCCCAGCCCCCTCTATGTAAGAACATTGGCCACATTAGTAGGAGGCCATGCTAATTACTATTCTCATTGTTGTGACCCCTGACAAGCAGCAACTTAAAGGAGAAAGGGCTTATTTGGCTCAGGTTCAAGGGGACGAAGTCCATCATGCATGGCACAGAAGGAATGACAGTAGGAGTGGAAGGTGAATGCTCAGTTGTGTCCCCAGTTAGGAAGCAGAGGCAGACGTAAAAATCTCAAAGCCCACCATCCCAATTCCTGCAGTGAGGCTCTACCTTCTAAAGATCCTTCCAAACCAGCACCACTATGGCTGTCTAAGTGAGAAATACAAAAAACAAACAACAACAAAACCCACCTCTGATCTCTCCTGCTTTTAGTGACTTCTTTTCTCAGCTTATTCATGCAAGGAATGCTCCCAGATCCTACATGAAACAGAACGTGGTCATACCTGCCCATCATGCAATATCACAATGAGCTTTGGCCTTTTTAAAATGAATAAAGCCTTCTTCATGACCCCCCCCCAAAGCCAAAGGTGTTTTGCCAACCTTAATTGGCTATAGGGGCAATTTTGGTTAACTCTTAGAAAATCACCATACCTGTTACTCAATGAATCACATTCAGAACTAAAGAAAAAGAAATTCAGCATGTGACTTGGGTAGGAAAGCAAAAACAGTCTCTCTCTTTCTCTTTCTCTCTTTCTCTTTGTCTCTGTCTGTTTCTCTCTCTTTCTCTGTCTCTCTTTCTGTGTCTGTCTCTCTTTCTGTCTCTGTCTCCGTCTCTCTGTCTCTCTCCATCTATCTGTCTCTCCGTCTCTGTCTCTCTGTCTCTGTCTCTGTCTCTGTCTCTCTCTATCTCTCCGGTTCTCCCTGTCTCTCTGTCTCTATTTGTCTCTCTGTCTCTATCCATCTATCTGTCTCTCTGTCTCTGTTTCTCTCTGTCTCTGTCTCTCTCCTATTGAATGGAAAAGGCTTTCTACATTGATCAGAGCCAAGAGTTCAGTTTGCTTCCAGTGTGCCTTGAATGGAGCTTGATGTTTTCCCTCCCCCTGGGAAGGGAGGGAGGGAAGACAAGAGAGCAAGAGAGCCCAGAGTGTGAGCCTTTGCTGATACAAAGCATTAGGAAGGAGCTGATTTCCTTAGAGGCCCTGGGTGAGCCGAACGCAGAGCTCAGATCCACTCTGACTTTGTCAGTCTGCCCTGGTCTCTCATGTGCCTTCAGAGTCACGTCTCAACTCATCTTTCTTCACAGGAAGAGACCTTGCTGTCTGTGGTATCTGGACAGCAGCCAACCTGTTCCTGCCTGGCCCAGTATTGCGGGTCTCACATCCAGCCTCAGCAAAACAGGAAAGGGCAAGGGAGGGGCTGTTCTCCAGAGGCGTTAGCAATGGGGCCAGCAATTCTGCTCTCCCCTGAGAAGGTTCAGAGAGCCATGTGTGACCTGGCGAAGTGTTTTATTTTCACCAAATTTTTAAAAATCTCAGTGGCATTTGAAACCAGGCTTCATTACCAATTATCAGTGGAAGGACCTGGGTTGTGAATGGTTTTGACCACTGTCGTTTTGTGGTGGTTTGAATAGGTGTGGCCCCTATATGTGTTAGAATGCTTGGCCGATAGGGAGTGGCATTATTGGGAGGTGTGGCCTTGTTGGGGTAGGTGTGGCCTTGTTGAAGGAAGTGTGTCACTGTGGTGGTGGGCTTTGAGGTCTCATTTGCTCAACCTGTGCCCAGGGTGGGACACAGTTGCTTCTGCTGCCTGTGGCTCAGGAAGTAGAACCGTCAGCTCACCCTCCAGCACCTTGTCTGCCCGCGCCTTCTGTGGTGTCTTCAGGAGCGTGGTCTACCGGGCTCCCCACTTCCGTTTCTCACTCAAGTCCCGCTTACTCCAGAGGCCCTCACTGCCCAGATGTAGTCTACGGTCCAAGCACTTCCACATCGCCGGAGAACTTACTAGCAAAGCAGCGTCTGCAAACCTCAGACTCACTGACACTCCACCTGACTCCCATCGAAGCCACGGGTGACACCTGTGCACAGAAGGATCTAGAAGCATCTCCAGGCAGGAGCGGAGACAGGGACGTGTCAAGAATGGGGAACGGAGAGTTCACCCAAAAACTCACACGTGGGTTCGATGTGACGCACGCCTTCAATCTCAACACCCGGGAGGGAATCAACCCTGTAGGGTGGGTAAGGTCCTACTTGGCAGTCCCCTCCTCATGTGGCCTCTGTGTGAGAAGCCTCTGCCCTATGCTGCTGCAGAGTCACTGCATTCTGCCTTCCCCGCCTCGAGGGACTGAACCTCAGAAGCCGTGAACCAAAAAACGAGTCCCTCCTAATGACTTTTGTCAGGTTCCTTGGCGCATTAATGAAAGACAGAACTAATATGGTAGGAAGTCTGCTCAGGACTTGTACGTGCCCATTCGACAGACAGCCGTGGACAGTGGCAATCGTCCCTGCTCGAGTCTCAGGGAGAAGGGAGTTAGATTTGCAAAACCTTGCTGTAGTTCAAGTCCGTGCGGGAGGAATTCTGGGCATTGAGAATGTAATTAGTGAACACTATTAATCATGCTGGATCAAGGGGAGCCCTAAAACCACTGAATCTCCTGCCTCTTGTTTTTCAGTCTGCTTACGCAGCATTTTGGCCCATAGTATGAGCTCCATGTTTGCTGACTGACTTCACCCCTCAGTGTCTTTGCTAGGTCTGTGCGTACCCCATGTGCCCCCAACACTTTCACCATTGGTATAGTGGCTGAAGGGAACTAGCCACAGCCATCTGCAGTGTCCCCACACACCCCAGTTTCCAGAGTCTCCTAGGACATTTAAAGGACAGCAGACCTGATAGGAAAAAGGAAACCTTGACCTTCAACTTAACCTGGACAAAAAAAAAATCAATGAACTTTCACAATCTGGTAGTTTCTTCTATTTAGTGACTTTTTTGACAGGGGAAGAAAAAGGCTTTTAGATAAAATATTTTGGTTGGTAGAAAATAAATTGGAAAAAAATGCCATCATGTGTCTCATCCTCTGAAATGTAATCTAAGGTTCTACCCAAAGACAAGTGGTGCTGGGAGAATTTGGCCTCTGTCTCTGTCTTCTTTGAGTCTCTTTTGGCACAGGTTTTTCCAGTGAACCTGTCCACCTGGAAGCAGAATTCAGCTGTCAGAGCCTCGAGTTTCCCAGGTTCGCTTCAGGTTTTGCTGCTTAGAAGTAACTAATAAGACTCACGCAGCAAACCCTTTTGAGGATGCACATTGCAGCATCCTCAAACTCAACACAAGAGGGCTGTAGTGAAATGACCGGGCACTGTGTGGCCTGGAGTAAATGTGCCCGCTTTACAAGCGCACGTGCTGATGGTAGCTGGCCTCTGTTCTCTTATAGCAGGCAGGCACGGTCTTCCGTGGTTGGGCAGGGAGGGGTAAATGGATCATGCATGGAACCCAGCTCTGTGTCCAGTGTACACAGGAAACTCTTCTCTACACCCCCACTGTGTTTGCTTTGTATTCTGTCTGCTGTGTCCTGGTCCATGTAAGCTGTGTTCTTCCAAGTGGCTTTCATTGTCCTCCTTGAGCAGTCTCATTAAAACTTCTCTGAGCGCCACCTGCTTCTCCCTCCTTAATATTTTTTCAACATATTTTCATGCATTCTTTGAAAATTTCATGCGTGTATACAAAACCTCTCTTGATCGTATTCACCCCTCCCTGCCCCCCCTTCAACTCTTCCCATGATCAACCAGGATAATCTCCTTCCTAACTTCATGCCTTCTCTTTGTATTTGTTTGCTTAACCCATGGCGTCCAATTAGTGCTGCTCATATATTCACGGGTGTGGTGTCATCCATTGGGACATGGGGGACCTACCAGTGGCCATACTCCTAAAGAAAAGTGACCCCTCCCCAGAAGTCATCAACTACTAACAGTTCCTCCGCTATGGCTGTGGTTCCAGAATTCCTTTCCCCTCCATGTTGGAGTTTTTAACTGGCTTGATCTCATGAAGGTGATCACAGCTGCTGTGTGTTCATGTGTACAATGGCCACATCGTGTCTAGAGGGCAGCATCTCAGCTTCTTACCCATGCTCTGTTCTTACATCCTGTCTGCCTGTTCTTCCTCAGTGTTCCCTGAGTCCTGTAAACGTCTATGGCTGAGCACTCCCTCTCCTTTTCTTAGTACTGTGTCTCTGCATTAACTGCTACCCACTGCAATAAGAAGCTGTTCTTTGCAAGGTTGGGAGCAGCACGAATCGAAGGCTGTACACCTAACTTATTTAGAAGGTAATTTGACAACATGAACATTCAGGAAATCATTATCAGGAGGCCGCCCCTAGGATATATGACTTCCCTAGTCATGGATTTTTGACCACGTTTACAGTGCCAGGAATGAATTACCTCCTGTGGAGCTGGCCTCAATCCTGTCAAGAGAGCAACCGGTTACCCCATCAACAGTCTTGCCCCTATCCCACAGTGGGCTCATCTTCCCTGGTAGGTCAGTATTGGAGCATTCACCGATAAGACCTTTGATGACATTTTTCCCTCAGCAGCCTGCATAGCACCTTCTGAAATCATGAAAACATAGTGTTGGGTGTGCATTTGTAATTCCTGGATTGGGGGCATGGGGGGGACTGTGGCAGGAGGATTGCTGCAAGTTTGCCATCAGCCTGGGCTACATATTGCTTTCTAGTCTAGCCTGGACCACAGAATGCAACTCTCTCTGTAAAAGAGGTTTTTTAAAACACTGTTTATAGGATCCTTTAATATTTAAAATTAAGCAAGGTTGTTGTTTGTAACAATAAGCTCTAAGAATTCAAACACACACACAAAATTATGTACAATGCTGAAGATGAGGAAGACACCCTCATCTTATAAGTTGAATTGTTCATTTCTCTTTCTGCAAGGAGAGGGGAGTTTTTTGGACTCTTATTTCTTTGGCTTTTTTTCATCTCCCAAATGCTGTGTAGTGGATCTGAATTTCTTTTCCATAGCTCAAATTCCATTTTTAACCCAAGATAACATATGTAAAGCTTGCATTCACATGACAACTAAGACCATCCTCTTTGGATACTGAATCCTGGCTCTGTCACATTCTAGCTGTGACCTAAAAGTGGATGCCTTGAGATGGACTCCTTGTCAGAATTAGGGCTCACACTTCTGTGCTGGGTCCTTGGTTGGACAAGGTTTGACACAGGCCTTGATATAAAAGAAAAGCGAAAGTGAATAGTCTTGTATTACTTCTTCTGTAGTGAATATTGGTGTTAATAGAGATGTGAAGGTCTCCAAGTTGAGAAGTACTCTATTCCTTTATTTTGATCAGCACTGTGTGTGTGTGTGTGTGTGTGTGTGTGTGTGTGTGTGTGTGTGTGTGAATTAAGGCCTGAAGACACCCCTGAGTGTTGCTCCTCAGGAACTGTCCACAGTTTCTTTTGAGACAGAATCTCTCAC